TTGTTATGTTTGGCCACTTTCTGTGTGTGGACACTGGTGGACTGAGAAGTAAAGCGACCTGCCCCCAGGAAGGCATTCAGAGCTGGGACAGGAACCCAGGCATGGGTCTGGTCCCAGAGCATCTGGATCTTGTCCCTTGCAGACCAGGGGGTGAAAGGACTTGGCTAAGCCCCTGGGCCAGAGACACGCAGGTGGTGGGCATTCTGCATCATCTGATCGAGACTCCCAAGGGATGTTCTGAGAAGTATCTGCTCCCTCCCTCACTTCAGGTGCTAGAGGGCTTGGGGGAAGGCAGAGGTGTGCCCCAGTTTGAGGGTATGGGGAAGAGAAGGGGGAGGCAGGGACCCAGCTCCTACGGTCTAGGAAATCCCAGGGCCTACACTTCAAGTCTTTTCCTTTAAAAAATTTACACAAGAAATTACAAACTTGTTATTGAAAACAAATCTAAAAACCTAACGAGAAAAGAAAATCCATTTTTCTACTTAGCAGTAGCCTCTGTTAACCGTTTAGTTATCCTTCTAGACATGCAGATCTGTGCACGGATGTACACGCTTGCACACACACACACACCTGGGCGTTACAATGCATGCCATCAGAAACTTGCTTCCCTCCCGCTCTGGCCCTGCAACAAAAGAAGAAGGTCATCTTGGGGCCCCTCGTGGCTCAGGTGGTTAAGTGTCTGCCTTCAACTTAGGTCATGATCTCAGGGTCTTCAGATCGAGTCCCGCATCGGGCTCCCCGCTCAGTGGAGAGTCTGCTTCTCCCTGGCTTGTCTGTCTCTCAAATAAATAAATAGAATCTTTAAAAAAGAAGAAGGAAGAAGGAGGAGGAGGAAGAGGAGGAGGAGGAGGAGGAGGACATCTTTCCAACCTGAAATATGTAGAGATGTGTCTTCATTCTCAATTTACCCCATCTACCCCATCATATAGCTAGATAATCACCTATTTAATCATATCCTCTAGTACTGTAAATTGACATTGTTTCTAAATTTTGGTGTCATAAAAAATGATGGAAGGTAAATCTATTTCGGCTTACCTGGTTTTTCTTAGGAAACTCCTGGTTTCCAGAAGTGCATCTGAGTGAAAAATGTACCAAAACCACATTCTGAGGGCCCTTGACGTACATTTCCCAATTAAGCCAACTGGGATAGGTTGATCCAGAAAGGTTGTTCAGGTTTTAGTCTTTTCCATGGTGTAATAGGATGACAGCCCAAATATTCTAAATTTTGGTTTACACCATCTACTCTCAAAACACTTCAAAAAGTCTTAAGCATCCAAATGGATGACCCTACCAGAAATTTTTGACTTTGCTGTCTACTTGGCACGAATCTGGCGTTCCTAATGATGCTCCCAAGGGGCCTAGCACATTTGAGGGACCTTCTGGTATCATCTCAGCTGATTGTCTTGCTAAGTGGTCAGGAGGATATATGGGACAGAACACTGGTTTGGGAGGCAGAAGACACAGATTCTAGCCCAACTCTGCCGTCTTCGTGTCTGACATGAGCGTTCTGTGGGTGGATGTGGTGAAGTTTGCACAGTGTGCATGTATGAGCAGGGAACTGGACTCTTGACAATGGGTAAGGTGCCAAGTGTTATGTTAAAAATGCATACAAATCAACTGTAAGAAGTAATTTTAGGGACACATATAATAAGGAGGCATGGGGGACAGTCAGGGGCTGCAGGTATGACTGATGCTTTGTCCCCTTGGAATGATGATGACCAATGATGGCATCTTCGTAAAGGCCAATATTCCCCTCCCTCCACCTCAAGCCAACGATTGACCAAGTCCAAGGATTGGCCAAGTCCGAGTCTGTGATTGGCTCAGCTTGGGTCACATGCTTATCCTACCCCGGAACCAGTCACTGTGCCCAGGGATGGGGTGCTGTGATTTGGATGGAGCTAGGTTCAGGCCCACCCTGGAAGGAAGATGGGGGACATCCTGGACAACCCCAAACAATGGCTACCACAGTGCCTAAGGAGACTGGATCCCAAGAAGGACCCAGAGCCATCTGGGAGAAGATTGGAAGGAAAAATCTGTCCTCATGCTTCAGGCAGGCAGGCAGAAGGTAGGGAGAAATTTCAAGGTCTGGAGCCAGGAGAAACTTAAGAGTGACCTAGAGGTGGCAATGACGGCCAAATGGGTGTCCAGCCACTGCCACCAGGGGACGCTGCTAAGCAAAGCATAGAGACCGCACGGCCTTTAGGGGCCACAGCCCGGGGAACCAGTCTGACCTCCAACCCACATAGGATCTGAGGGCACAGGTGGCCTGGGGCAGGTGACGAGGAAGGCAGGCTGGACACCACTCACATTTCCTGAGAAGGCCAGTGACAACTCTGACCCGTGTACAGGTCTGGAACCTTCAAGTGCCCCCAGCTGGCTATCTCCCTGGGATTTAGCAATAATTCCCTTAAAACCTAGGAAGAGGATGGGGGCCTGATGAGGGGCTTTGAAGAGAGTCAGAGAGTGAGTGAGAGGAAACCCTGACATGCTCTCTGATCTGAGAGACGGGGGAAGAGGAAGCAGGAGGTGGGGGAGGGGGGTGAGTGGCTGGAAATGAGAGACAAGCAGGCTGGGGGTGGGGAGAGTGGCTGGTAAGGTGGCAGGGGAGCACTGACTGAGAAGCCCAACAGCCCTGGATTCGATCCACTGTTTACTGGCCATGTGAACGTCAACATGTTACTTTTCCTCTAAGCCTCGGATTTCCCACCTCTAAGATGTAGGTGAGGACACCTCCCTTACAGGTTATCGTGAGTGCTGAATGAGGTCAGGTCATCTGTGCAGGCCCAGCTCGACCGTCCACATGTCTGCACGATGGCAGTGTCCTATGGGTGTGTATCACAGAGCTCTTTTCCACACTGTCCTTATGTGTGCATGCTTCAGCTCAGTCCCTTTGCCTTTCTTCCTCCCGATAGACCGCAGGGCTGTGAAGAAAGATCTGTTTGCCATCTCCTCTCAAAATATATGAGTAAGAAGCCAGGCCCAGAACACCCTGTCTTTAAGTGCACTGACAATGGGTGCAAAGGCCAGGCAGTGACACAAGCAGTTTGCAGGGAGTTGCAAAAGTGAAATCAATCTATCTGCAGGACTGGCTCAGCAGCCTTTGGAATAAGAAACTGACAAGAACCCGCAGCTGTAAATGTTAATGGGTCGGCCATACTTCCTGAGCAATTAAAGGGGACGTGGAAAGATGACCAGACGAGCCAAGTTTTTTTGTTTGTTTGTGCCAACAAGTATGGTTTATTCTAGAAGCAGATATCTTCCAGGATTTTTTACTGTGTGGATTATTAAAAATCATTCCTTATGGAGGAGGGAGAGACTGTTCTAGCCACCACCGCAGCGGGTGGGGGTGGGGTGGGGGCCAGAGCTCAAGGACATGAACAGACTTCCATGAACAGACTTCTAGGTCAGCCCCTTGATGGGACTGGATAGGCCAACGTGGGGCTGGAGACTCTAGGAATGGGGCTTGAGGGGCTGGTGCGTCTGAAAAAAATATTAAATGTGAGAGGAAATTCCTACAACATGGATGAGACTTGAGGACATCCTACTCCATGAACAGAGCCAGTCTCAAAAGGACGAATATTTTGTGGCTCCACTGATATGGGGTGCCTGGAGCAGTCCTGTTCATAGGGACGGAGAGTAGAAAGGTGCTGATGGGGGCGGGGCGGTGGAGGAGGGGGAATGCTGTTCGCATTTAATGGGCATGAAGTCGAAGTTTTGCAAGATGCAGAGAGTTCTGTGGACAGATGGTGGCGATGTTTGCACAACAATGAACTGTACGCTTGAAGCATGGTCAAAATGGTAAATTTTATGTTATGTGGATTTTACCACAATACAAAAAAATGAGAAAGAAGAAGAACACAATGCACGTGGGCTTTTGGGGGGGCAAACTGGGGGCAAAGCGGGGGCAGTGGTGCGTACAGGGGAGGACAGCCAGCAAGATGACAAGGCGCGTGGCTGTTAGAAGCAGCAGCCGGGGAACATCCTCAGTGGGAGGGGGTCTTGAAAAATACACGGCGGTTTAATATTGACATGATGCTGTTGGCTGGATTCACAGTGAATCCCCATCTAGCCCCTGATCTGGGCTGAAGCCGGCTGCGGACACAGGTTTTGTGTAAATGGGGTCTTCGAGAAAACCCGGAGGGACCGAATCCATCTGAGCTGCTGTGAGCTGGACCTGTGTTGCCAGCACAGGAGGGAGCCACAGTCCAGGGACCTGATTTAGTGGAAGTAGGAGCTCAGAGCCACAGGTGGCCAGGACACTGTGGAACCCCAATGCTTCTTCCCACATCTCCCCATCCCGGCTTTCCACAGAATCTGCAGCCATCTCAAGGAACACTGGACTTCCCAGAGCATCAAAGGCCACCTTCTCTAGATGGTAAAGGATAGCAAAACCCCAGCTGGGTCCCATTTATGGAAGGTCTCTTTCCTCTTTTATCTTGCCAACCACCATTCTGCAGCCACCTTTGGCACGGTAGCTGTTTGGAAGGCAGGAGAGCACAGTGGGGGAGAGCGGGGGTTCCCCAGCCAGACATGCTGGATTTTGGGCCTGGCTCTGCCACTTACTGTGTGGCTTTGAACAAGTTATTCACTGTTTGAGCCTCGATGTATTCATCTGTAAAATGGGAGTGATGCTACTCATAGTCTGCTGCACAGAACTTTTGGGAGAATCGAATATGGTACTGCAAGGAACTCAAGTGTTGGTATGGATGGTTACTTTCCAGAAGCCTGTGGGTTCCTGACCTCTGCTCTAGCCTCCCTGGAACCCTGTGTGTCTTGGCTCAGAAGGGACAGAACTTCTTCCTTGGGCTGCCCTTCAACTGTTAGGAACATAGAACGCGTTAGGAACATAGAAGACCACTTACACACTAAGTGCTGTATTCTAACGCTTAGACTTTCTCCAAGGGAATGGGACCATTCCGCAGCCCATCCCTGCTCCTGGAATCACCCAGCCCCCAAGCACAGACCCACTACAGAGAGGAGAGTTCAATTGTCCTCCTAAAGGGAAGGCAGCCTTTTAATGGGCTCCGTGTGATAGACAAGTCGGTATTGCTGTTGAGACGGTGGGGCTGAGAACAGCCTCAAGCCCGGGGGCAGCTCCTGAGCAAGGCGGGCAAAGGGACTCGGACTCAGCATTGTGCCTTTGGCTGTGAGGCTCTCTCTTCTGCGATCTGGCTTGAATGCATCCGAAGAACTTGTGCTCTTCCGATATACTCTGGGAGAAGGGAAGACATCCATCAGGAGAGTCAGGAGAGGACAGGGAGGGGCCCGGCCCCTAGCTGGGAGCTGCTCAGGAGACCTGGGTGGACCTGCTCCCCCCACAAGACCCCAGGCAGATGTGGGTCAAGGCCAGCTTCTGCTCTGGGCTCTGCTGGGGACCTGGAAGGAGCCAATCCCCTTCTCAGAGCTTCACCTCCCCCTCCCTTTCTCCATCCAGTCAAAAAATACCTAGAGAGCAAGACAGCCAGCCCCCTTAGGATCCCTTACAGTCTAGTGGGAGAGAATACTATACATGGCGGGTAGCTGTCCTCTTCAGCCCTTGCCAAAGGCCCCAAGATGATGCTGCAGCCTCCTCCCTGGTCTCCCCCCACCCCCTGGCCCCCGACAGTCCATTCTTTACCGGGCAGCCAGGGGGTCCCCTCAGGCCCTGATCATAAGGCTCCAGGGCACCCCCATGCCCTCTGCGTGGGACCACCGGTCCCGCCCACCTACCCCATCTCATTTCTTACTTCTGTCCTGACCCACAAGGCCCCAGGCACCCTGGCCTATGTGTGATTTCACCCACACACCGGCACGTGAGAGCCCTATTTCTGGGCTCTCCCTAGACCCACATCGGGCTGGATCCTACCTTTTGTTTGGCTTAAGGAGCCCTCTCCCCACCCTGCCAGTCCTCCCTACTGTCCCTCACTTTACCTTTTTTTTTCCCTTATGGCACCTGGCCCTCTCCGATGTTTATGTTGGCTGCCCTCCTCCTCATAAGCCCCGTGGCCAGGGGAGCCCATCTGGACTCTTCCCCAGAGCCTAGCTCACAGCTGCTAAGGAAGTCTCTTGAATGAGTGGAGAGATGAATGGACAGAACGGGCAGCTTCCTGGGACAGGGCCTTATCTCCAGGGTCCTTGGATTCCCTCCAGGCATACAGCCAGGGTGGGCCTCGGGGAGCCCCCAGGATGACCTGCTGCCTGGGATCTTACCTGGTTTGTCGCCTTTGGGTAGGGACGGTGTCTTTATCTTCTTCGGGGATTGGCTGTAAGGGACACAAAGACAAGGCTGGGAAGGTGAGGCCGGAGCCCACTGGGGCACAGTGGCAGGGTGGGTGGGGCGGGGAGGGAAGTGCTCCAGGGAGACACCTGAGAACCCAGGCCCTCAAACCTAAATGAGCACAAGCCCCAGCCCCCAAGCTGCAACCACCCTCAAACTCAGCATTCCCTAGAGTGAGCCCATTCCTGCCTTCCCTTCCTGACTGTCCCCACCCTCTCTCATCGGCTCCTTCCAGTTCTACCAATCCCAGCAGCGTTCCCCGAGCTCTACTGGAAAAACTCCGGGAGGCTGTCAAAATGACACAGCCCCTGGTTCATCCCCCACGTGCTGTGTTAGAATGTTCCAGAATCTGCATTTTTCACAAGGTCTCCTGCAAATCTGCGTGCTGCTGGGCTGGGAAGTGAGACTAGCCCCAGGCTGAATCCCAGCTCTGGGGTGGACCCCCCGGGTGACTTTGGGCCTCCATGTAGCGGTGGCTTAGCCCGAGTTTTCCAATTTGTAAAATGGGGGTGTACCACTGCCTCCACAGATGGTTGCATGGGCTGCAGATACGTGAGACATCTGCCAGGGTCAGGCAGCGAGGTGGGCATGTATTATTGCCAGATCCGTCGCTGACATCTGGCCCTACACACCTGCTTTGTGAGGACTTCCTTACTCGACCCTTTCCCTGTGTCCTCCGGCCGTGGGAGGCACGTAACACCCCTGGTAAGGGACTTCTGCTTGCCTGTTAGCTTTCCTTCTCTATTTGTCTTCCCAAAGACCGAGAGCAGGAGGGCTCCATGTGGCTCCTCTGGCCTTGTCTTGCTATATCTGACGAAGGGCGCCCCTGGGGCATCCCCCAGAGCCCGCCACGGAAGCCTGGGCTGTAGCACAGGCTGACCTGGGGATCCCCAGGGGAGGGGCTGCGCCTTCTCCTCCTCCAGCACAGGCTCAGTGAGCCCAGGCTGTAGCCAGCACCCAGATCCCTTTTTTAGACTGCCCCAGCCTCCCCTGGGAGGGCAGGTGGATGAATGTGAGGGAGCAGCTCTGGGAGCAGGGGGGCAGGTGAGGGGTGTGGAGCTCACCTGTAGGGTGGTTGTTGCCTCTCTTGAGAAGGTTCGTGGACTTCGTGGAGCTGATGGAGAAGTTTTTCCACCGGGAGAGAGACTAGGGGCTGTGGAAGGAGCTGAGCCACCGCTGTCTGCAGGAGCCCCAGGGCCAGGTCTTTCTCTGCAAGCATAGCCGGGGGGCACGGTCTTCAGTGGCAAGACCCACGCTGTCCTGTCCCCATAAGTGACAGGCTGGAAGCAGGGCCTCCAGCTCTTCTGCCCAACCCTGACCCAGGACAGCTCTCTCTAACCATCTGACATTCTGCATCCAGGTCCCCTTTTGGGGGCGGGGGGGGGCTTTCTCTGTCCTGGCCCATGTGTGTGGAGAACACCCAACCTTTCCCCACCTTTTTCTCACCGCAAGATCACATGCCCGTACCTTGTTCTTGGCCCTCTCTGGCCCAGCCGCCATGCCTCCCGGCTCTCTCTGGAAAGCCCCCTGGGGAACTGCCTCCTTCCCCGCCTCCCCTCCTCCACTCCCTCCAGCTCCCATCAGCACTCCTCAACCCCCCACTTGGATACACCTTCCACCCACCATCCCAGTGTGTGCATGTGCGTCCGCTCGTGTGTCCCTGTGCATATGCTGTGCCTGTGTGTGCATGTTTCCCACAGCGGCGGGTGTCTGCTGAAGACAGCTCTGGACTTCTCCCTGCCAGGTGTCCAGGGTGGTGGTCAGCCCGAAGCCCCCTCTGAGAAGCAGGGGGGTGGAAATCCTGCTGAGGGAGGAGGAGCAGGGAGCAGGGGCACCGTCCTGCTGGAAAAGGCTAGTTTGGGTCTCCAAAAAGCAGCAGCAGCCCAGGGGGATGGATCTGGGTGGGAGCCGAGTGACATCCGGAGAACAAGGCCCTCAACAGCCTCCAGTCCGAGAAAGCCCCAGGCACCGGCTGTGTCCTCACCCTTCGGAGGAGCGTACAGGAGCCAGAACTGGATGGCGCTCAAGGAGTCCGTCTGCAGGATCTGACAAAGGAGCTCCAGGATCTGCAGGCAGGAGGACAGGCCCCGGGTCAGCGTGTCCAGTAGGCACATCCCAGCCGGCAGCACAGGCCCCTCTCCCACAACATGGGCTCCCAGAGTCACATGCTTGGCTCCACTGGTCCCCACCAAGGCCCCTGCCCCGTGACTTCTCACTTTACAGAGCACTTTCTGTCCCACCAGTCCCAGAGGAAGAGTCTTGAGGACACCCAGCCGGGAGAGTGTGGCAGAACCAAGCTTCTGAACCCTGTGTGTGGACGCCTCCTCCCTGAACCCCGTGTGGGCTGCTGGTGTGCCAGAGTCCCTCACTGGGAGGGCAGAGTGTGAGCGGGCCGCGTGGCCGCTCAGAGACGCACCGAGTCTCGGATCCCTGGTTCCTGGGCGTGGGGATTTCGGGAACCCCACAGGCCTCCCCTCCCTGGAGCTCCCAGGGTCTGGAGACGCTAGCGTAGAGGTGGGGTGATCGGAGGGGGCGGGCTGCAGCTCAGGGCTGTCTGGTTCGACAGACTGCCCGGCCTGGGACTCCGTCTGGCCCAGTGGCATGCGCACTTCACCCTCAGCCGCTTCCTCAGCCGCTTCCTCAGCCTCGGGCGTCACTGCCACTTTCCGACCCTCTTCCCCCTGTGTTCTCCAGGCAAGTGTCATCTGGGGGAGAGCCAGCTCTGTGTCAAACGGGCTACGGGGGCTCCCTAGGCCGAGCTGCTGATGGCGGCTGTGGCTACGGCCGGCTGGAGTTGGGGCTCGCGGTAGCAGGTGGAACCCTTGGAGTCCTAGGAAAGTGGGGTCCCCTCAGTGCTTGACAGTTGGTCTTCCCAGGACCTGGAGGGGCCTGTCAGTCCCCAGCAAGTCTGCCTCATCCTCAGCAGAGTGAGAACCGGGCTGAGAATCTTCCCAGGCCTCTGCCGCCTAGGGCACCCCCTCGGTCCCAGATACCCACCTGTTGCAGTGACTCCCACCCTGGGTCTGCCCCTGGGCCCTTCTCCGTTCTCCGCGTCCAACTTACCTGCCCTGGGCCCCCTCCCCACAGGACCCGAGAACCTAATTCCAGGCAAGGTGAGGCCGCCCTATGGTGGAGAAAGTGCTGTTCTAGTCCGGGTTACACCGCTCCCTCTCTGGGGGCCTGGGCCACAGAATGTCACCTGGCAGGGTCTTAGCCTCGCCATCTGTGGAATGGGGATTCTGGGCCCTGCCTGCACTATCCATTTCAGTGGACTGTGCAGTTCTCCAAAGGACTGCAGGCTTGGAAGTGCTGGTCACGGGGAGGGTGTTAAGAGACTGGCTCTGTGTGTAACCTTTTCTGGAGAACATGGATGCTTTTGGAAAGGGACTGCGAGATAGCTTTAAGCCACCGGCAAGGGGCAAGGACTCATCTCAGGCCTTGACCGGGAAACTTGTGCAGGCGGTGGGGGGGTCGGGGGTGAGTCTGTGCGTCACTGTGGCAGAGACCAAACCCCTCCAAGTGTGGGAAGACCGTGCTGGGACTGGCCTGGCGGGCTGTAGCCCAAGGCAGAGCAGGGCATGCTTTGGGGACAACACTAGGCAGGACCTTCCTCTCCAGCCTTTCAGCCACAGCGGCTCCCTTCCTGAACTCCTCCAGCGCCACAGCCGGAACCGCCCTTCTTGACAAGCCGTTCATGCTCCGGGCTTGGGTGGATCATGGAACTAAAGCCCTGAGCGGGGAAGGCCTTCAAAGAGAGGGAGAGCCTCCCACAGAAACCTGGATGCAACAGGGGGTTGGATCCAGGGGCTGGACTCCCAGGTCGGGAGTTCCTGAGACTGAGGGTCTCAGGTACATGTGTCCCCAGGAGAGGCCACGCTGCCTTTTTTCTTTTTTTAAAGAGGGAGAGGTGGGGGAAGGGGCAGAGGGAGAGGAAAAGAGAGAATCCCAAGCAGGCTCCACCCCATTATGGAGCCCAAAGCGGGGGTCCATGCCACGACCCTGAGATCATGACCTGAGCCAAAATCAAGAGCTGGACGCTTAACTGACGGAGCCACCCAGGCGCCCCGAGAGGCCACACTTTAAAGCACACTTTGAAGTTTTTAAGCTCCTAGTTGGGATTGCTGGGAGCCTGGGAGCAGCAACCCCCGTGTTCTCAGCCCTCAGACCAGGCCTCCATCGGGCCGTAGCTCCCAGCGTTCGTTCCCAGGGCCTCACCAGCAGCTCCTGATCCCGCAGGACAATGGTCTGAACTCCTCCATCTTTGCCAGAAGGATAAATCCGGGGGCTCTGGCGGGAGTGGCGGCGACCAACGGCTCGGGCGGAAGTGGGGATGAGCCTCCCGGTCTCGGCCGAGTACTTTGCCCCCTGCTCCCGCTGAGGTTCCTCCTTCTGCTGGGGGCAAAGTGGCCAGAGACTCCAGGCAGTGAGAGAGAGATCGAGAGAGATCAAGAGAGATCGAGAGAGAGAGAGAGAGAGAGAGAGGGCGGGGGGGGGGGGGGGGGGGGGTGGGGCTCAAGGAAGAAGGCAGAAGGGGCCCAGTCATACCTCTAGGGCATTCCCTCCCCTCCTGAAATCCCAGCATCACCACATTGCAGGAAACTGGGAGGATGACCAGGCCAGCCCACCCTGTTCTAGACTCCTCTCCCCAGCCAGGGGCCCCTCTATAGCCAAAGTTCTTCCTCCTGGAACTTGAATGCTGGAGCCCCTGGCGGTCCTCTGAAGTCCTCGTACTTCCTCCTAGGGAGACCCTCCTTCCCTCCCCTCCCCCAAGCCCATCATAGATTTGAAAGCAGTATCCTGGGCCATGGTCCCCATCGCCTACCTTAACTCCCAGGTCAGCTGCTCCCAAGTTTGTCCCCCAGAGCTTGGCATCTTTTCTTTGCCCTGGGAAACCCTCCTGAGCCAGGCCTATAGGTACGAGGCCTGGGACCTCCTACCCTTGCAACCCAGTAGATTGGGGCGTACTTCCTATTTTATTTGTTTGTTTACTTGTCTATTTATTTTAGAGAGATCAAGAGAGCTCCTGTGTGTGAGCAGGGGAGGGGCAGAGGAAGAGGGAGAGAAGCAGACTCCCTGCTGAGCACAGAGCTCCAATGTGGTGCTCCATCCCAGGACCCTGAGATCAAGAGTTGGACATTCAACCGACTGAGCCACCCAGGCACCCCTATACTTTTCCCCATTTTCAAGATAAGAAAAGTGAGACCCAGATTGCTTAACTGAGTTGCTGTGAGCATTGCACTGAGTTAGCCACAAAGCAATCATGAGAACTCTGTTGCCTCAGACAAGGGCAGAGCCAGAGTCCGTGTCAAGGGCCACACCTGCCCTCAGTCCCTTTCCAGCTACCTCCAAGCTGCCTCCAATTGTCTTTACTGAATTACCAGCAAATGGCACCCATGAGGTCACCCCATCCTATTTGAAATCCTTCAGTGAATCTCCCCTCCTTATGAGATCCGACACTCCAGTAAGTTCAGAAATTAAGAACAAGCTCCTCTTTTTGTCCACATTAAAAGCCGGCCCCTCCTCACACTTCCCCCCTTCCCCCCTCCATGGCTGCCCACGTATCCCTGCACGTCAGCCCGGTCTCTAAGGATGTCTTGCCTTTCTTTCCCAGCTTCTGCGGTCTTGTGCTGCAGGCCTCCCCTAGGGACGCCTCCCCTGTCCACGTCTTCACATCCCCCTTCTGTTGCGAACCCTTCCTGGATTTCTCCACCCAGCCACCTTCTCTTCTCCTCCGAGCCCTTGCCGCGACCCTCCCCCTTCAGGCTGGTGTTCTGTAGCCCCCTCCTCCCTGGACCAACAGCCCCCCACCTCTTGTGGACACGGGCTTTACTGTCCATGAGGTGGGAACCCCCTTGGGAGGGATTTTGTTACAAAGAGATGGACCCTCGGATCTCTTCCGGACAGCGCCTTTGATCCACACCCACCTCTTTGCTCTTCAGCTCATTCTCCTTAGTGAAGACGGCCACCCGGGAAGCCAGGTCCTTCAACTCCTTCTTCCAGGTCTCTGGGAAGACACTGCCAGCTGATATGTGGGGTCCTCCTCCCCGCCCCTCTCTGTGGTACCCAGCACTGGGGGGAAGCGCCTGGTCATTTCCCCAGCCTTCCCAGCCTCATGTCTTACAGGGAAAGGGGGAGGCAGTGACCTTGAGGGAGGGAGGAGGAATCCCCCCCCCCTTGGTGCAGTCATTACTACGTTGATACCCTAGCCTGTGGCTTCACTGGGGGATGCTGGAGATGCTTGGCTCCCTGTGCTAGGAAGTGTGCGGGTTAATCCAGCTTTGCCTCCTTTGGACACTGAGGCCAGGCCAGAGACCCAGTGTCTGTGCTGTACCAGTCACTCAGACATCCACCTGTTCCTGGCGAAGCTGGTCTGGGAGCAGGCTGGCGACAGAGAGCCTCGGAACCCTCTCTGCTCTGCACCACTGTCCTGGTTCCTCCCTGGGGCCTCTCCTCACACCCACCAGTGAGCTTCCCCTTGGCCCGCAGGGAAGGGCAAGGGCCTGGGCAGGGCCATGGCCGCCTGAGAGCTGCCACTCCATCTCTGGCTGTCTGCTCCGATGGCCCAGTGACGGAGCATACAAGCTACTCAACATTTCCAGTATCATCCCTGTCTCTGGCTGTCAGTCACGTGACTGTGGCCCCCCTCTGCCTCTCCTCTGATGGTTATTACTCCTCAAATACCTCAAGTCTGAGTAGGGGCCATATTTCTGAGGACCTGGGGAGGGGGTGGGGAAGAATGCAGATGCTGCTGCCTGAGGAAATGTGGAAAAATCTAGGGTACCCTACAGGACCCCACCAACCTAAGAGCTCTTTCCTTCCCAGGCACCTGGAGAGGGGTTGCTGCCCAAGTACACACCAGAGGAAAGCTGAGGCTCCCGATTGGACTGTGGGTCTCCAACGGGGACAGAGATGCCGGGCATCCCCATCAGACAGTGGGATAAAAGTGTGACTTGAGGCACGGGGGCCAGAGAGAACTCGTCTCTGACGACACAGACGGGCTTCCCGGTGAGATCTGCGAAGGGTGAGAGGCCGTGAGGAGAAGAGCCTGGGTGGACCCTAGGAAGCCTGGGAGACTGGGAGGCGGTGGGCAGGGAGAGCACTGAACCCGCTTCTTCCAGGAACCACAAAAGCCCATAGATCGCTGGAGCTGGGAGATCCCGCGGCCGCGGAGGCCCTACCCACAGGGACATTAGGACAGACAGTGACAGGTTCACCCAGCGAGTCAGGTGGAGGTGAGCTAGGAACCCAGGCTTTCTGGGACCTTGGTACTGGGGTCCTTCTGATGTTCTAGGACAGAGCAAGGAACTGCAGGTGTGAACACACAGAGGCAGACAGCTTAAAGAGGAAGGCATGGGGGTGCAGCGCTAAGCCACAGTCTGTGACCAGAGGGGCCTGGGCTCAAATCACAGGGAGTGGTAAGAGTCAGCCAGACCCCCCTGGAGAAAACTCCTTGCCATCTGTCAGCCTGTGCCAGGCAGCCTGGGGGAGATGGCGAGCCGCTTACACACGAGGACCCTGCTGCCTTACAGTCTGACCATGTATTATTGTCCACTGTGAAGCTTTAAGGACCAGCCTTGTAGGACCGAGCATGGTGGCTCACTCTGTCCTTTCAGAAACACTCTCTTTTTTGGCCAGGGGTCCCCTCATTCTCCTGGTCCCTCCTAACTCGCAGGCCACTCCTCACCTCCTCTGCTCCTTCCTTCTCACCAATGGTGTCCCTCCTAGAATGGCCACATCGGGGTCTCTCGCCTGAACTCTGGGCCCAGCCACTTACTCTGCCCTTCCACCCCCATGCCTGAAAGTCATGTGCATCTTGCATCTCCCAGGTCCTCACCAAATTCCCAACCCCCCTTCCACTCAGCTTGGGCCCTCGCTTCGGGCTCTTTTTGCCTCAGTCCATGTGACTCTGGTTTTCTAGCCATCAGGCCCAGCACCTGGGAGTCATCCTTGACCGCTCTTTGCCTTTCCCACTCATTTCTAACCAGTCTGCAAATCCTGTTGGCTTCACCTCTGTAGGTCTCTAGAGCAGGGCCGCTCAGTCTTCTACTGCTACCTCCTTGGTCCATGCCACCCTCCAGACAGTGGCCAACATGTCACTCCTGTCATTTCTTTGCTTTTGCCCCTTCCCATGGCTCCTGTTGCCTCAGTGAGATGGCTCAATGGTAAGTGGGTGACCTCCAAGGCCCACGTGCTCTGGACCCCCATCACCTCTCTGGCCCATCTCCTTTTTACCCTTCCTTATTCTGCTCCAGCCACACTGGATTCCTTACTGACCCTCCAACAGAGCCAGGATGTGTGCCTCAGGGCCTTTGCACTTGCTGTTCCCACTGCCCGGGACATTTTTTCCCCCAATATCCACAATATCCCTTTAGTTCTTTGCCCAAAGGCCATGCTATTGATGAGGTTTCCTCCCCTCTAGAGCCTTGGCGCTTTCTACACCTTGACACCTCATCTGTTTCCTATCGTTTCTCACCAGAGTCAGCTCTGTGGGGTCAGGGACTGTCTTATTCACTGTCATATCCCCAGCGCCTAAAATGTACCTGACCTGTAGTTCACACTCAATAGATGGCTAAGTGGATTAATTGGCTTGAGTTCCAGAACAGAGTGCGGTTCTGGGGCAGAACATTTATCCCTTTCCCTGAATCCTAAAATGGGAGGATTGGCAATGAGGAACATGGTCTAGGGCTAGACACTCAGCCTTGGAGCCTGTCCCCCGGGTCAAGTCTTTGCTTGACCAAGTGCTTGCAAGTGGCCAAGGAGCTCTCTGACCCCGACCAAATCCCCACCCTTTCCGGGTCTCAGCTTGGAAATGGGGGCTGACAACTCTCTTTCCCATTTTTAAGACGGCCCCACCACCTCCAGCCGGGCCCCTACCCACCCCAGGTCTACCTTGGATGTGGGTCACACGTTGTGGGTGCGGGTGGTGTCGGGAGAAGAAGGAGTGGTGGCTGAGGCGGCCAAAGTGGTAGGCCCCAGGGGTTTGGGGCCTGGGGGTCCTCAGTGCCGTTTGGATCAGCTGGAAATCCACAATCCCTGGGATCATCAGTTCTTTCTGCGTCCCGCTGTCCCCGTGACTCCTCGGCCTGTGTCCTGACTTCTTTTCAGGCTCAGCCCTTGGACTGAAGGAGAAGATCAAGGAGAAGCTAATGGAGCCTCCGGGCAGCAGTGCCCACCCGGCTTGGAGCCCGGGGCTTATCTGGAGTCTATTACCGAGACACTCTGAAATGGGTTTCCAGGATCTCACTCCCACTCCCCTGGACCCAAAGCCGGGGCCTCTCCCAGGGTCTACTCCCAACTGGTACAATCCAGTCCCAGGGAGCTTCCTGTCTTCCTAAGATGCCTTCACAGGGAGCTCAAATCTATTTGAGAGAATTCAGATGGAATCTCTCGAAACCTCAGTTTTCTCCCACAAACCCTCTCTCAAGCCATAGGGAAGAAGCCACAGACCCACCTACTCATCCAAATACCTGGGTAGAAGCAAAGGGACCTTATATACACAGACACAGCAAGGGCCTGTCCCCAAGCTGACTCTTGGCAGCCCAGGAGAAGCCAGCTACAGGCAGCCCCCTAGCCCCCGTGCCCCCCAGGCAGTCTTGGTCCAGGCATCCAGAGGCTAAAGCTGGAGCACCGAGGCCAGATGGCGCCAGCATGTCCTTCCCCCGGGGGGCCCCTCCCAGGAGACGCAGAGCTGATGGGGTAGAGTCGCAACGCTGCAGGGAAGCGTCAAGCTCTTGCTCTGCTTTGCTGGAGACAAGCTTCTCAGGTTGTCTGTTCTCCGCCCTGCACCCCTGCCCTCCGCTGAGGATGCCAGGCCCTGCCTCTGGAGGAGGAGCTTGAGGTCAGTCCAGCAAGGATCCAAAGGTGGGGTGCTCTCCGCCTGGGGCCTGGGGGGGCCACCTGCCTGCGTGATGTCTGCGCTCCCTTCTCCCGCTGGCCCCGGCTGAAGGGAGGCCCTCTGGAGAAGAGACGGACTCTGGATATGCTAAGCAAGGTGCTCTGCCCTGGGACCCTCTGAGAATTTCGCTGACCAGGCCCCTGAGTTTTCTGTGCCGTCCTCGATTGGCCTCTAACGGATCTGGGACTTAAAGAAATAAAGCAAACCTTCTCTGAAATTTGCAGTTACCTGGTGGTCCCCTACCCCAAGTGATGGAGGAAGTCACCCCTCAGAAACCCCAGGAATTCTAGGACTAGGTGCTTCAGCCTCCCGTCACCATGTCCTCTCCCTCCAGGGAGGGACCCGGTTTGTGACCTATGCTAAACTCAGGCTCAGGAACCCACGGGGACCTGGCTGAGGGCAGCGGAAGTCGAGGCCCTTCAGTCTGCTGGGTTCCCCCTGGCCACCTTTGTCTCCCACCCCGCCCTGCCTCCACCACCCCCTTGGTCAGCAGCGGGGGGCACACAAGGGGTCTTACGTCATTAGTGGATGTTCAGCCAACTGGGTCTTCACTTCTGTAGCCATCATAGCCTTTCTGACAGAATAAAGGCCAGTGCACCTAATACTAGTGCTGGAGATGGATGGCAGGAACTCTCATACACTGATGGTGGGAGTCTAAACCGGAACAGACACTTGGGGGAGAAAAATTGGCAATATCTTGTAAAATTGAACATTGGCATGTTGAACTGGCATAGAGCGCTCAGCCGTTCCTCTCCCTGACATATACCCAGGGAGGCCCTTGCGGTGGTACCACGGGGGCTATATGTAAAAATATTCAGACTAACATCATGCAAATTAGCCAACACCTGGCGACATCCCAAATGTCCGATGGTGGCAGGAACAGGTAGATGAGCTGTGCTGCATGTGGACGATTGAGCGTCATATTGCAATGACGATGAACCACAGCTACACAGAACAACATGGGTGAATCTTGCAAATATAATGTGAGGTCAAGGAAAGCGAGTCCCAGAAGCCCCAGAGCCCGAGATTCCTTTTTAGAGGTAGAGTTCAAAGGCAAGCAAAAGTATCATAAATGTGATAAAATAAGGGCGGGGGGAGCAAGAAAACAGTACACACAAAATTCAGCAAGTGGCTATTTCTGAGGAAAGTAAGGGAGGGGGGATGGGATGGGAGGGGGTGGGTTAGATTGTTAGTGGGGCTGTTCTAGTTCTTGGTTTGAGAGGCGCCTTTGCCGGAGCTCTTTATAAGATGAAATAAACTAATTCGGTGACATGGATGTAAGATGATAGGTGTTGAAGTCAAGAATTATGATTGGGGGTGCCTGGGTGGCTCAGTGGGTGAAGCCTCTGCCTTTGGCTCAGGGTCCTGGGATGGAGCCCCGCATCGGGCTCCCTGCTCAGCGGGGAGCCTGCTCTCCCTCTCCCACTCCCCCTGCTTGTGTTTCCTCTTTCGCTGTGCCTCTCTCTGTTAAATAAATAGACAAAATGTAAAAAAAAAAAAGAATTGTGATTGGTCTAAATCTATGGACCTGAATATAGATATATATGTGCATATATGCATAATATATACACACACATACATATACACATACACGTACATATACACATATGGTACACGCACAGATATACATGTACACATACAAACACACGTGAACACTCACACATACACATGTACATAAGCACACACATGTACACATTTATATAGCATGTGCACGTGTACATACATGTACACATACACGTGCACGCATGCTTACATATACAGACATACACGCATGCATATACACACATACACACATACACCTACACACAATACAGCACACACATACACGTACATACACATGTGCATACACATACATATACATATGCACACATACAGGTACATATACACACAGCACATATATACAGGTCACATACAAATACACACGAACACATACACATGCATATGCACACGCATATATGTGCACACGTGCACACACATACAGTATACACATATATACATACATGTACACATATACACACATATACACATACACATTTACATAGATACACATACATAGACACATGCACATATACATATACACACAGCGCACACATACATGTACACACATATACACTTGTATACACATACCTAAACACATATACACATACATGTACACACATATATGTACACACATATACAGGCACATATATAGCACACATATACAGGTACACACAAAAATACACGTGAGCACACATGCACATACACATGTGCATTTACACGTACATTACACACGCATACAGTATATAGATCTCTAGATCTATCTGTCTATATCTCTCCAAAGTGCAGGGTAGTGATGGGGTTGGGACAGGAAGCCAGTGCATTCTGAAAATGAACTCTCAGTCACAAAATCTGCAAAGGACCCAGAGATCCTCAGGGCCAGCCTCTCAAGAACTTCTTGAGTTCGGGGAAGGGGAGACTTTCAGGCGTCCTGCCTTTAAGTCTCCTGATCTTTTCTCCAAAGAGCAAAACAGTAGGCAGAACTTCCTTGGAAGGAAGCTTTGGACATCCTTGGTGACGGGGGCTGGGTCTAGAGCACTCACATGCTGCAGGCTTGAGGACAGGCCATTTGGAAGCCCAAACCCATCTGCCTACAGGAAAAAGTACTCGTTAGAACAAAGACTTTCAAATGCTTTTGACTGTGATACTAAGAAACTCCTTCCTAGATCCTGATTTACACACACACGTGCACACACATCTGTGTATGTGAAACTGAAGCAAGAACATTCTAGAGCAATCCTTACCCTTGCCACATAGCATGCACAGCACTATTTTCATCCTACTTCTTGTTTTCATTTCGCAAATGTTAGCCGTGACCAATTACATTGATTTTATAAGCCACAAATGGGTCATGACCCACAGCTGCGGTAGAGGTCAACAGGGACTGAGGCAGGCCTGTCTTTTCCAGAGTGGGACAGGCCGGGCCCTGCTGTGTCTGCTTCCGTCCTCACTCCCCTCTCTGCCTGGCCCCCAACCAGCTGGACACAAGGAGTCCAAACGCTCACACCCATCCTAAGACAGACCTTCCCTTTCGGCATCTCGGCCTCTGGAGGCCCTCCCCTGGCCCCTCTGTCTGGCTCTAGTGTCCATTTCCTCCCCGGGAGACATCCGTGGTGGACTCACCGGGGCGAGTGCCTGCTACGGTCCGTGTATGAGAAGTCCCCGCTGCCTGAGTGGAAAGGAGTGAGAGGACACATCAATAGGCAGGCAGGCTCGCTGGTTCTGTGGGCAAGCCTGTCGGCTTTGTGACCACGTAAGCCACTGGTTGCTAGGCTACCCCTGCCCCACAACTCCAGAACCACTCCCCAGCACCCCTCTCCTTGCCACCCGCCCCCCAGCTCCTCTGACCCCTCCAGGTTCCCTCCAAGTTCCCTCTCCACCTGGCACTCGGCATTTTCAGTGGGGGCCGAGGGTGACAATGAGAGTCGGGGGCCGGTTTCAGCCAGCAAGAGGCAGACAGAAAAACTGGCAAAGAAGGTTGGTGGAGGTTGGTCCCAGCTTTGTCAGCCCAACCAGGCCTGATGCCACTCTAGAGAGCTCTGCTTCCCACACATCCTGTTTCTGGGGGTTGATTGGCAAGACAGCTGTCTCTTAGCTGGAGAGAAGGAGGCTGCCCGAGTGACCCAGAGCCTCCCTCCAGCCCTCCTCTGGGCAGGATAACGGGGTGGGAAGACTCTGGTTTTTAGCTGGGCAGGGGTTTCAATCTGATTCGGACACTTCCTAGATGTGGCACCTTGGGGAAGTCACCCGTGCTGCCAGAAACATGGAACAGTGGTAAGAAGGCTTGGTTTGAAAACCAGTTCTGTTACTTGCGAGCTGTGTGACCTCAGACAGATTACCTGATGTCTCTGAACTTCAGTTATCACATCTCAGAAATGAACATGCTCATGGGATTGTTGGGAAGACGGAGTGACTTCATGCACATTGAAGTGTTTAGAACAATGCCAGGCACTCAGTATGATCTCCTACCATTATTGCCTTCTCTGAGCCTGACGGGGCAGCCTCCTCTACCCCTGGTGTCCTTCTGAAGGACGAATGAGCTCAGGGAATTCAGCTGCCTAGTCTTTTACCTGGCGTACACGAGATGCTCGAAAATGGTAATAACAATGCTCATTAGTATTGGTGTCAGGATGGAGGTAGGATTTTTTACTATATATACATATGTAGGTGGGATGAGTCCTTCGTCTGAGAACTTCCTTGGGTAATTCACTTGATTGCTGTGAGGCTCAACTTGGGACACCTGTAAAGTGAAGTGGGTCTCCTTTTGTCCACAGGGTATGATGAGATCAGGCACTGTGAGGGGTGCATGCCGGTTCTATGAACTAAAGGAGCGTGCTTGATGCTGTGTCCTCGGCTAGGAAGGAAGGAAAGGAAGAAGGAAAGCTAGAGGCAAGCCCAACTCCTTCAGGAGTTCTGCTCATCCCAGCAGAGGGTGGGGATTCCAACAATGGTGGTGACCCACTGTGGGGCGGTGCCTGATCTTGGCCTGGCCCCCAATGCTCCTCCATCCATACAGGTCAGCATGGTCTCCATGTAAGTGTAGCTTTTCCCGGGCCTGTCTCTGGGGGAATAAGGAGACCCCTTTGAACCCATTCTGCAAGATCCTTCTTCCACGTTTCTGGGGTTGTAGCTACTATTACGATAAACAGTGCTGTGTTTGAAAGAAGAGAAAGCTGCTTTCCTGCCCAGTCCCTCCCTGTTGCTTCCAACCCACTTTGGGGGGTTTCCCACCAGATGACCTGAAGCAGCTGAAACTAAAGCCCACCTTCCCTTTCTGATTGTACCTCTTACGCTTCCATTATATTCTTCAGAACCCAACAGCGGAGTCTGCATGTAGGTTGAGCTGTGGGGGTGAAGGGAGTACCTTAGGGAATGCCTTCAACACTGGTTTGTGAGGTTGATAACATAATTGCTAAGCAAACCCTCCTGACATCATCTTTATGGAGCATCCAAGGCAGGAGGGTCCGTCTGCCTGGAAATGCTCTGAAGCTTGGTCCTCCTGCTCGGACGTCTCAGTTATGAGAGGAGAAACATTACATTTTATGGAGCACTTTCTACATGCCAGGCACTATGCTAATCCTTTTAGACCTGTTATCTCATAATCCTAGAGTTGAGGAGATTAATGATCAAAGAAATCCTGAGTTACAGGTATTACAATTATTTCTAAAATTTCCATTTGGTTCATTATAGCTTCTATTACTTTGCTAAAACTTTCTATTTTCTTTTCCATCACTTATCTCCAGTGTATTTCTCATTGTTCATTAGAATATATATATTTTTTATCATGGCTTCTGTAAAATCTTCCTCAGATAATTCTAACATCACTGTCCTTTTGGTATTGGCATCATTGGGTATTTTGAGGAATTTCTCCAGAACATCAACATTTTTAATTGTATCGCATAGGTCATATCTTTGTATTGTTTCCAGGAATGATAGTGATACCCGTTGTTTCATTCCAGACACTGGACTGGATTTGATCTCTCTCTCTCCCTCTCTCTTCCTTGATAAATCCTGCCAAAGATTATTCT